TATTAATTATTTTGGTTTTATTCGTGAAATTAACGTATTCGTTAGGCTCTGCGCACAGTGACAGTTTGACCACAGGTGAGATAGTACTTGTGTTCAAGTCCACTTAGAGTGTCGAAAACTTTAATTCAATCTGCCAATGAACTTTCATGCACATGCCATTTCATAAATGTAATTTGAGAAAAATTTATTTCAATGCATGCAATGTGTTTAAAATAATTAATAATAAAATCACATTTACATATAGGGATTCTTCTTCGAGCAAGATTATTAAAATTATTAATAACAACTAATATACTTTCATCGCTCATTGTTCATAATTTGTGTAATGTTGAATATCAAGTCTTATTAATTTATAATATTATAATCAATACATTATTGAAATGTGGAACGATAATGATTAAAATTGTTTGTGACAAGGAATTAATGTATTTCCTATATAAATTCCGGATTTTAATTATAGATTTTTCCTAGATGTGAAATAATTGCACTTTTCTAATAAATATTAATATTCATCGAGTGAGAATAATTAACTAGATTTTTATTAATCTAAAAACTTAGAATTAAAGGATAAGTTGGAAAATTTTTGCATAATGTAAGATATAATAGGTTAAATTGATAATATTTTTGATAAATTTTGTCATATTTCAATTAATTGTTATTATATATTATATAATTATTATTATCTCATAAATACTGAAACTAACTAGTCTGCAATATATATATATATATATATATATATATATATATATATATATATATATATATATAAAATAGGATAATTTAATAATTATATAAATAAGATAAAATTTCTATACGAAAATTTGTATGCGTACTATTTAATTGTATTATTATAACATTGTAATGCAAAATTTTGTTGTAAATTAATTCCAAACAGATTTATTATAAAATTAACAAATTTAGAGATAATTTAGATGATAAGAATTATCGTGCGATTTTATATACAAGTCGTATATAATTATTTATTTAAAAGGTTATATAGATCGATTGATTTTTACAATATTTTCAATGTACATACTATCAATAATTAGATAAAATCAATTGTCTTAATCAGAATATAATAAAACATATTTGATATGATTTAGATAAATAAACGTGAATGAAATAGAACAGATATTAAACATAGAAGTTTATGTTTTATGTTCGAGATAAATATCTTTAGACAACTTTAATTTTATTTATAAGATTTTTCAGCCTAACCGAGACAACAATAATATTATTAATCAGCAAGTGGAAGCTATCAGGATGTAGGCAACTTTGCTGTTGAACTTTGAAGAAGAAACGTTAATAATAATTATAAATGGCGCAGAGACTAAAGAGAGTTAATGTTATGAGTAAACAAGAAAACGTGTTTGTCGACATCATTAATTGGAGAATAATTTTCAGAAAATCTACATCTAAATTAAAAGATAAATGTGATATCGGTCGATAAAATGCAACAAATTTGCATGAAATTCACGCTGTAGATATTCATGTGAAAGCAATCGATGACGTACATTAATGAAAAGGCTTAAAGTAAAAAAGACTAGGCGTTTTATAGAAATAATAAATTAAAAAATAGATAAATATTATGGAGATGAAGAAAAGTTGTTTGCCAAGTGAATATAGGAAAATGAAAAAGAAAAGAAAGTAATGAAAATGTCGATAAAATAGATTTTAAATGTTTGATTATTCTGCTAATATTTATTTATATAAAAAAAAAAAATATATATATATATATATATATATAAATGCACCTACCAAATTTAAGATAATTGATATATATATATATATATATATATATATATATATATATATTGCAAATAATTTATTATAGTTTTATATAGATGTAATTATTTTTAATACATTATAAAAATTCGATAAATCACATAATCATAATTTGCATATTTACAGTGTTTATGGTCAGTTGCGCTCCCCCCTCCCCCGCCTATATTCTTTATCATTCTAAATAATGAAAAAATAAAATATATTAGCTAACTTGTTTTTGAAGGGAAATGCTCTCTTAGATATTAAAAAAGAAAGTCCGTTGAAATTGCTTTGTGTGTTCGAAAGAGCGAAGCATCGTTTTTAGGAAAAAAATGCGAATTTCATCATTTCAATTTTACCGTAACAACTTAATTATCCTTAGATAAATTCACAAAAAGGCACTCAGGCTAATCTGGAAAAACAAAAAATATTCTAATTCATCCTTATTTATTCAACCTTATCGAACGTACATTTGAACTGAATTATTTAATAATATGTTTATCATCAATTATATTACTCTGTCATTCATTCTTATATTACTCTTTCATGTACTTAAATAAATTTCTCTTACAATAAATACAAGCATTTTTACTAGTTAACGGAGGTCTTGTCGAATAACTGGAATTTACAAAGCTGTAATAAATCGATCGTACTGACTCTGCATTCGTAAGACTCTTCTCGATGCAAATCGCGTTCTCTTGGTACTCCCCACTCTCAATTAAACAAATCGCACTCTTCAATGCTCCGCGAGTTCCTGTGATCTAAATGTTCTATGATTGTTCGATAAATAGACGATGACTTCTTGGCGTAAACGCGGATGAGAAATATAATTTTACGAGAAAAACGTGAAATTAATTAGCGCTAAATGTACGACAGTCGGGTAAGCGTGTATTTTGTATCCTCACACACATGCCGATCGCGGCTCTAGCGATCACTATACCGTTAAACATTTTGTGATATATAAAATAAACATTTGTGCATGTGTGTGGCATGTGGCATCGCACTCGATTCTCGGTCCATGTAACTATAGTTCGTCAATTGAACTATGGTTTATACGACACTCTGCGATTGCGCACAACTTTCTAATTCTGCGTATTCTTTGCTCATGAAAAACCCAGAGATCGCAATTTATACAATTATCGTCGCTATGACAATGATGATTATTTCAAAGAGAATAATAATTAGCTTAATCGCTCGCTGACTTTCGTTTACTCGACACATCACTCAACACCCTTTTTTTTCTTTTATTTTTTCATAAATTCCCCGAAATTTGTCAACATACGTTAAAATAATTGTTTGCGATATTCAATGTAGTTAGGTCCTCCGTTCGCGATGACATTCCAAGAGTCTTTAAATCAGGCAGGACGTGCTCAACGACGATCCTTTAAACATTAATGTGCATTTGATCATTATGACACCGACATTGCAATTAGCTCTAAAGTAAATTCATATTATTACGCTCAATTGATCTTTATTATCTATATTATCATAATCGATATAATAACCGTAAAAGCTTTCATGCCCTTTTATCAGATACACTAGGCAAAAATGGAGAGGTGGAAATTAATTTCTTATAAAATGCTCGTAAAATTGAGGAGAACATTTTCTTTACCATTAATCAATTTGATGAGATGTTGGCATTTTAAAAAAATGTCTAAATTCATACAACACAGTCAATCAATGAACAAATACTTTATGTATTTATTTTATTTTTTTTTTTTTTTTTTTTTTTTTTTTTTTTTTTATCAAATTCGTCGAAACGTTCGCACCATTCAATTATTATTTCAAGTAACTAGGCATTGCACAAGCATTTGAAACTTCGATATACTAACGCGTTCTACAGCCTTAATAAGATACTTTCTATCGATTTATCGTTAATTAAATTTCTTCATGGAAGAAAACTTATAAAATTGATCAAAATAATAAATGATATCGTAATAGTCAAAACGGCTCGGCTCATCGATCCCTCGATGTTCCATGCTATCGTATTTTTATAGAAATGTTTTGACGTTAAAGTTCCTTGCCCTGCAATTGCATTATAACGTACGTAAAACATTACGTTAATCGCACTTGTGCTATACGATTTATGGGGAGCGAAAACGAAGAGGGAACATTCAATGATATTCGGTATCCATTGCAAAGACTTGGAGCATTAAAATCCACGAGGTGATGAAAAAGGTAGTCGAACGGTTGCCCGAGTCCCCCATTCTCCAATACCATGAACCCACCGTCTCTCTCCACCTCCCACCTCCTTCTCCCGATTCTAATTATAACAAACATTGGAGTTTTCGCGAGTTTCGTTTTCTCGATGCATCGCGTCAGCCCGAATGAACGAGATCTTTATCTGGATGGAGCGGTGGAATCGCTCGTCGACGCGGCCGCCCATCATCAATCATGGACGGAGCGCTGAAAAATCGCTAGACCCGATTGTAGGAGCCGTCGCGGCGAATGCGTGGCGGTGCTCGTGTCAGTAAACTCCAAGAGCCGGTTTTCAGTACGTCTACCCGGAAAATTGTAGCCTTTCGAAATCCCTCTCCCTCCCTACCAACCTACCTCCCATATCCCCCTCCTCATCCTCCTCGTAACCGGTGTCCACCTTTACGAGCACCAGCACCAGCAGCAGCAACAGCAGCAGCACCAGCACCAGCAGCAGCAACAGCAGCGGCAAAGGCAGCGGCGGTGGTGGTGTGGTGACGGCAGAATCGGCGGCGACTACGACGGGATGGCGGGGTGGAGGTAGCGGCGGCGGGGACAGCAACAGCGACGACGAGTCCCGTAATTTCTTCGCGAAGCTTACTTCTGACACTCTAACAGTATCTGCTGAGACTTGCTTATCGACAATCGACGATACGGCCGGGCTTTTTTTTTTTTTTTTTTTTTTTTTTTTTTTTTTTTTTTTTTTTTTTTTTTTTTTTTTATATGAAATGTGAATTGCCGCCAGCCGTCGATATAAGCTTTATTGTTCTCCTCGTTCGACGGCTTTGCTTGTGTGTGCGCTCGCTCGCCAATCGCTCCTTACATCTTCGCAAACACACCGAACGTCCGTTTATCAATTTCTGCACGTTGGATGCGATCGTTCCTCTAGCGTGTAATCGTGTTACTCTCGCGCGCTCGTTAAGGTCGCTACACCCGATAGCCATCGATCCTGCTTTATTGTAAACTATCGAGAGACTTTAAACGATAAAGGCTAATACTACTTTCGTATATATATATATATATATATATATATATATATATACTTTCGTATATTGGTCGGGGAGGTGATATAAGGAGGACGGACTGTCGCATAAGATCAGGTGAGTATATAATTGTGATAAATTACTTTCGCGTATGACGATGAATCGCTGGCAGCCGGTCGCGTGACCCTTAAAGCTCAGAAACGATTGTTGGCCTTGTTCGTTTGAGATTTGCGTTTGGAGTTGATTTTGGAACGAAATGCTTGTACCGTAGGAGCGTCGGAATTACTCGTGGCCTCGACAGAGTCGAATGTCGCTTATACCGTTAGAATATACTTCCATTGGCGTTTGAGAATGTCTGTGAGATGTCTGTCTGTCTGTCTGATGAGAAGAGGCTGCCGGCGAATAATCGGCGACATACATTCCGCAACCAGTTTAATTGAAATGCCGACAGTAGTGGGTAAGAGAGATTAGGCCAAGTCGCGATCACTTTTTTTTCTATTTTTTATTTTTTTTTTTTTTTTTTTTTTTTTTGTCTTTTTTTGTTATTTATTTGTTTTCGGCCGAACGTAAGCGATTCCGATTTATTCGCAGTAGATTCATTAAAGTTAATTTGAAATTTGAAAACCGGCTTTCTCTGAAAATTTGCAGCTCTCTATCTAACCGCTGCAATATCCATAAATTCAATATTAGCTATTTATAATAAATTTGCGGTATAAACTATCTAAATTTATTGGATATACAAAAAAAATCTCTATAAACGTATTATTTTTACGTCCAAGCACGTAATTGTAATATTAATATCGAAGAAAATGTTTATGATTCTATTGCATAATGTCATTCGATAATACGTATTTTTATTAATGTTTTTTCACGTTTTTCATGAGTATTGGTATGACCATAATGACAAAAGTAATATAGACAAGTTCAACGTTGTCGCTGTTTTTTAAAATTTTTTTATTTATTTATTTTTTTTAAGAAGTAAATAAGATGAGTTTGTAGAATTGAATATCGAATGACTTTTATAGCTGTGCAAATGTTATCGAGGAATCAATATTATTGTCACGGGAAGTCGGTTCGGTAACAGTGGCAATATACTATACGTATTATTAAAATATACTTCAAATATTGTTCTCATGGAAAGTAGAAAGAAATCGCAATTGCCTTGAAACTTCTTTTCCTGCCATTAAAAACAATTCTTGAAAAAAAAATAAAAAAAAAAAATAAAAAAAAAAAAAATCATCATTGTCAACGTTAAAGACCTTAATAAGCATAATGAAATTACTCTCATTGAAATGCAGGGAACAATGAAAAAGTTAAAAATTGCTATAATCGGCCAGAACAACTTCGCTGCGGAGGTCTACAGAACACTGAAGAGGGATGGTCATGAAATAACTGGAGTTTTCACCGTACCAGATAAATCGGACCGAGAAGACATACTCGGTAAGTGGACTAGAAATTAATTGAAAAAATTTTCCCGTCATCTAACATGTAAAATACAAAAGTATTGGAGTGTTTAGCTTTCGGCGATAGTATTTTTATATTCAAAGTACAAGAAGAAGCGATTTCAAACACGAGAGCTTTGAACAATTTCATTTTTCATCTGCAGGAATTCAGAGAAATGCATAATTCTGCCGTACTATTGTTGACATTTTCATGATAAAGTTGATATATTTTTAATTAATTCGACATCAGATAAATAATTATTAAATAATTGTGCCTGTGTACGTGCGTGCGTGCGTGCGTGCGCGCGTGCGTGCGTGCGTGTACATATAAAATTCACATTCACACTTTCACTTAGAAATGTTAATGCATTAGAAAAACCTCGTACTTATTAATAAAATTAATAGATTTAGCAACGTGTCCATATCCAGTCTAATATTTCTTTTGTATTTTTTTAATTTTATTTCAAATTTTCTCATTACACTGGATGGTGATTTTTCGCAGCTAATGTCGAAATAAATTAAGTTTTATAGAATAGAAAGCGCCACTATCACTCTTTTCAATCTGCACTCGCAGTACATGTAAGCTCTAAATTCTATAGCAATACTTGAATTTATTAATATTTGAAGAAAGCGACATTCTAATTTAAAATATTGCATCTAACTGCACGACAAATGGATGATTATAATATAATACACATTAAATATAACTTACAGCATAAGTCTTTATAAGCTAAGCAAATTTTTAATATAAAACATGATATCGTACGAGCGAATACACGAAGAAAAAATGTGGTGGTTAATTGTAATATGAGAGATACGATGTACTCTTATACTATTATCATTATTATCGTTATTATTATTATTATTATTATCATTATTATTATTATTATTATTATTATTATTATTATTATTATTACGCACCTGATAGGATTCAGATAATCGATCATATACGGCGAATAGTTAATTCTCGGTTAAGTGGTCTACTTTGCGAAATATCATAATTAATTAGCGTATAATGAATATGAAATTCTATCGTTTTGTTTTCCGGTCTTGTCAAAACCAATCGAAACGCTTATACGAATCACGTCTTTTTACATTAGACATTATTAGGCACACAATAATGAATGAGATTGATTCGACAGAGAGAGAGAGAGAGAGAGAGAGAGAGAGATTTACAATCACTCGATTTACAAATATCGCCAATACACATGGCATTTTATTATAATAGAATTTAAGCCAAGGAAAACCGTGAATTCCGCCCCACCCGATGCCGCCTGCCAATTCCTTATTCGGCCCCGGCGACGTATATCATTAAGGCGAAATGTTCATCCGCTCCTTACTTACTCGGCCGCTTAAAGCTTATCGCGGCCCGAATTCATAGCGAACTTTAAAAATGTTTTTGCAGCGATAACGGCAAAGACCGATGGGACTCCGGTCTTTAAGATCAAAACATGGCGCTCCAAGGGTGCGAGTCTTCCAAGCGTCCTCGAGCTTTACCGGAGCATCGAGGTTGATCTCAACGTCCTGCCCTTTTGCACGCAGTTCATACCCATCGAGGTGATCAACCAGCCCAAGTATCGGAGCATATGTTACCATCCGTCGCTGTTGCCAAGACATCGAGGTGCCAGCGCCATTAGTTGGTCAGTCACTTTCTTCTTTACCTAGGCGGGCCAATATATATTCGCGATTATGCGCGTGCGTTTCTATTCGCAGATTTGCCACGAGAATGTACAGTCACAACCTTCTTAAGGGGATATCTTTTGGATTATTGCGAATACATTATAAGCGCAAAGTCCCTTTCTTCCCGAATTTCTTTCTCCCTCGTGCTTTATGGATTATCCATTGTCTGTACTGACACTCGAACGGTCATTCGCAGCCAACGCGATAATTATATGTGACTGTAGATTAAATCGTTGCTTGTTGGGTTTGAACGATCCTATACACGATCGTTTAGAAAGTTATTTTATGCTAAATCTATACTATGGCACTGGGAGTGGGTGTCAAATTCACTTTATGTCGCTTGAATATCGCTGATCTACTTTTACACGTTTAATTAACTTTCCTTGCAGATATATAAATTCCATATTTTTTTTTTTTTTTTTTTAATCATATTAATCGTTTCTATGCGTTCAAAAAGCTTTATTTTTTAATAATAAATAATATTTTAATATTGATTTTCTTGGTATACCGTGGTATACGAACCACTAGTCTTATGTCAATAAACTCTGGAATTGTACTTTTGTATTTATATTTTAAAAATTCGAAGACATTCCGAAAGTTATTGTAAAAAAAAAGAAGAGAGTAAATACACACACAGATGTTAAAAAATAGTAAAAATACAAAAACCTAAGGTACTGTTTTTTTTTTTTTTTTTTTTTAGTATATAATATAAAAAATTTGGCATACGCGTGCAACTACAGTCAAGTATTTGTGTTAATTATGTATAAAAGTAATTTATATTTTGAAGATTCTGTACTATAGATATTAATAGTACCTCTACGAAACATTACAGGTTTAATTAATTAATTAATTAATAGAGTAAAGAAAATGAATGGAACATATCAAGATTTGTTCTCATCATTTTCTCCTACAATGAAGAAAAATCACATCATTATTAATTTTCTCCTGAAAAATATCATGTAAATATCGGCGATAATCCGGTTTTTCCGCTCGCACACACATTGGTCGTAAAAACTATCTCTATTAATAAATCATCGTAGTCGGGGACAAGTAAAAACTAGGCAACAAAAACACCAATGAATGTATCGAGTACACTTACAAATGCAATCTGCAGCATCGCGTCGACGTTCAGCCGATATGCTGAGTAAGAAAATTTACTAGAAAATCGGTCGAGTGATCGTGTGCTTGAATTGAGTTCAAGCGGAGTTTGAAGTTCGAGCACCGATGCCATGGCCATTATCAATAGCCAAGAGGTAATCGATAAGTCGATCGACTAATTGCAGGACGCTGATAGAGGGCGACGAGGTTGCCGGCATCTCGATATTCTGGGCGGACGAGGGACTGGACACGGGTCCGATCCTCCTGCAGCAAAGCTGTCCCGTAGATCCGGACGACACCCTCGATTCGCTCTACAAGAGATTCATGTACCCCGAGGGCATTAAGGCGATGGCAGAGGCCGTGAGGCTCGTCGCCAAGGGCTTGGCGCCCATCCAGCCGCAGACCGAGGATGGCGCCACCTACGAGCCGATGCTCAGCAAAAAGGAGCTGCAGAGGCTCGTGTGGGAGGGCAAGGACGCCAAGCGGGCGCACAACTTTATTCGCGCTCTGGACTCGACACCCGGGGCCTGGACGCTCCTCGATGGCATCGAGACGAGGCTCTACGGCAGTAGCCTTTGGCCAGGTGACTTCCGTCCCGATTACTTCGATCTTTGCCACCAAACTTTGCCTCCACTCGGTCCCAGAGCTTCCAAGCTCCGTTATCACGGGATAATGTTATAATCGACGCGTTGGGTGCATTATTCGGTCGGTATTTTTTTATCAGTCAGTAGAGCTAAGCAGAAAATGTTATTTAAGAGCCGGATAATCATAATAACCCAACGAATGCATCCGAATCTGATTTATATAGCATATTTGTAACATATAGCTCGTACGCTAGGAAATGGCGTCCAAGTTACAATCGTTAGAGGCTAATTAATATATATTTGTTTATTTGTTATACGTATACAGCAGGATGTAATGCAGTCGAGGGAGACCATGTGAACGTCGACGGTCGACCCGGGCAGGATTATTGATAATGGCCGAAGACGGAGCCTATTTGAATGTTAAAGTACTGAAGATCGATGGAAGGACGATAAATGCTAGTAGCTACGGCAAGTCAACGAGCGAAGACAAGAAGATCGAATTTACGGAACAGGAGCGTCTCGATATCGAAAATATACGGAAGATTTGGGAGAGCATCTTGGGCATGGAAGTTAACGACGACGTTGACTTCTTTGCTTTCGGTAAGTCTTTATCGATGTTTTATAATAGATAGAAAGGTAATGAGAGAGAGAGAGAGAGTGAGAGAGAGAGAGAGTTGAAAGAATATTAATATTGCAGACATCAGTATTTGAATAATTGTATTGAGGTTGGTGGGTGAAAGGAGGAAACTTTCTTGTAACGAAACCATGAGAGTTTGTGCAAGAAATTAAATTCATTGAAAATATTATTAAAAGACATATTTCATTTATTTCAAATGTTAATAGGAGAATCGAAAATGGAATATGGAAGTCATGAATTTTTATGTCGTTTTGGGGATTTTGGGATGATTGATATGTTCAACGATAGTGTACATCAAACCTAAAAATTTTACTTTCAAATTTTGAATTTTTATTAAAGATTATACAATAGAGAAATTAATTATTTAATAATGAATAAATTTCTATTTTGTCGATTAAAATCGATATAATAATATAACAAAGCATAATAATATAAAGAAACATGAACAAACAAGAGTAATTAAAGAGTATTCATGCATAAATACCCGCTTGTGTAAATTCGATAATTGCGCAAAGAAAAACGAAGCTTGATATATCGACATACTAAAATTTGCCAAAATTCTAAAAAGTTATGGTACAAGTATGCAGATAAATGCACAGATAAATGGAGTCAAATTACACCAATATATTTCTACAAATTTATTATGAAATCTCATACAATTATTGGTATTCCTTCAACATAGCCTTAACACACGCACACGCACACGCGCACATACATTGTATATGTATATATATATATTACTAATTGTATAATTATGATGATGATAATAATAATAACAATAATAATAGTAAGTAACAATAATAGCAGTAGCAGCAGCAGCAACAACAATAACAATAACAATAAATAACTCATATTTTTTTATTTAAATAATTACGAATGATCGTGAGAATAATAAAAATACCTTATATTATTCGCGAATAATTTATAGATAAGAGTTAATATAGGCGAATATATAAAATACATATTTTCATTATAAACGTATCATTATATTATCAGTCGTGAAATGTAATTATCATTCTAAATTTATAGTGAATTTATCTATATGAATTATGTAAAAAAAAAAATAAAAAAACGCAATTATTAGGTTTTTGTTTATAAAGTAAACATGAATTTCGAATTACCTTGAGTATGTATGAAACGTACGTAGCAAACAAATTTTAGATTTAAAATAATTAACGTGAATTTATTTTTCAATTTATTAAACTCGTTTAAAAATAAAAAGAAACATTATCATTCCGAAATAACAATCGGTTTATTACGAATCCCTACTGAAAAACTATTTAAAAATGATTACACATTTATTTTATACAGTTATTTCATAGTCAATTAATTTTTGATAGTATAAAAAAGTAAATTGTTTTATATACGTTTGTCAGCCTTTATTACTTGTGTTGATAAATGGCAAATATGAAGCTGTAAAAGCGTAACGATTACATTTTGATAGTTTTTAAATTTTGAAACATTTTTATTTTATTAAGATGTTAAAAAAAAAAGTTTGTAA